CAAAATATACATTCCACAAAACCTGACATAAATATAGAAAGTTTTTCTGTAAGAAAAAAGAAACAAAATACAAATGTCTTAATTATATAATCCAAAAATTGGATTATCCTTCTTCCGAAAAAAAAAATATATATATATATGTATATAACAAGAGAAAAAAGAAGACAGGACAGGCAACCAATACAGACTCGCACGCATACTGTTTAGGAAAGAATAAATATACAAAGAAGAAACATGCAATCAAGAGAATAAGAAACATCGTTAACTACTACAACATCCACTCCGTCGTGGTTGAATATTCTGTATTACATCAATTGATTGATTCTGATTTGTATTAGCAGTTTTAGGACCAGCTTTTACTCCATCCCATCTTGAAAAACAAAATGTTAAAATTAAATAAATTAATAAGACAAAAAAAACTTACCCATTTTGAACATGTATACGTCCTTCAATTAACATGTCATAAATTTCTCGAGCGATAAGTGCAAATGCTTCTTGAACATATAAAGAAGATTTTGATGATGTTTCAATAAATGATATATTATGAAAATCAGCAAATGCTTTTCCTTCTTCTGTTGTTACCTAATAGAAACATCATTTCAAAAATAAGCTACTACATGTCACATGAACCAAAAGTATTCAGACAAAATGTTTGTTTATTTTCGATAGGGATAGGACCGGTTCGCAGTTTTTGGGAAACGAACCACATCAGTCGCATGTCTGATTTTTGACTACCTTCAAAGTGTTTTCGAAAAGTCAAAATCTATATATTATGACTAGAATTTTGTACTCTTTACGAATGTAGGTTTAGAAGTTTTCTTGAGATCAATAAGATTATCTTTTGAATGGTCAAAAAAAAATAATTTGGACGGAAGATTTTTTCCTACAGTTTTGTCCTTTCACTATTGCGACTTGAAAGTAAAAGTTAAAACCTTTATTAATGTATTAGCCTGTAAATCCAAAGTTACTTTACAAAATGTACTATTGGAATTTTTCAACAGTCCACTTTAATTTTTTCTTCTCTGAAATCTTCATTTTTGAAAAATTGAATCTTTATATAGGAAGAAGTTCTTGGAAGAATGTTTAAAGTTGTACTTCAATGAAAGTTATAGCTTAGTTCAATATAGAATTTTGTTAAGTGTCCACTTGACTCTGATAATTGTTGAAACCTTGGAAAAATAAATTATAGAAGCTAGCAAAAGTTTTATTAGTTCATCATTCAGTTTCATTTTTTTAGACTTGTTAAAATTTTCTTCACTACTCTTGAATAAAAACTAACGTGAGCTGAATTTTCGAAATGTATCTTCAGAAAATGCACAACTCCTTAGAAATACTTTCCAATGAGTCAAAAATAAATAAATATCTTGTCTCAAAACTATTGGTCTACTCATTTTATTTAATAAACTAACTTGTCGTTCAGATTCTCGATCAATTTTAGTACCAACAAGAAGAAAGACACATTGATATGGTTGAATTTGTGTACGAGCTTCATTTAACCAACTTGTTACATGTGTAAAACTAACATAATTTGTTGTATCGTATATCAAAAGAACACCAACTGAATTACGATAATATGCACGTGTTATACTTCTAGAAAACAAAAAACCTTCATTTTAATGTCTATGGTATTTTTTTTTGCAACTATTACTTAAATCGTTCTTGACCAGCTGTATCCCATAGTTGTAATTTTACTTTAATACCAGGTTTAACTTCAATGATACGTACATTGAAATCAACGCCAACTGTAGGATCCTAATATCAACAGAATGGTTTTTAATATTTAAATAAATAGAAATATAAAGCTTACTGGATCTTGAGAAAAAACACCATCACAAAAACTACGTAATAATGATGACTATAAAAGAAAAATAAATAAATTTTTTTTTATTATTTATTTTATTTATTAACCTTTCCAACAGTTGAATCACCAACAACAATTAATCGAAATTGATAATCATAATTGTACATATTATCCATTATAATGAAGATAATAATATTTTGTTAAACATGAAAACAAAAATCTGAAAAATAGAATCATAAGAAATCAATCAAAAATTTCTGACGACTTCAAAAAGAAGAGAAGATTTAAAGAACTTATCTAGTTAATGACAAGAGAATAACAAATATCTAAAAGTCTAATTATTTTTTTCTCTCAGATGATACTAGATCGAAGTATTTATTACAATCTTCGTCTTTCAACAAAGAATTAATCATTGTATTTCACAAAAATATACGTTTGATATAATAATAAAAAAATAACTAGTGTAAATAAAACTCCCTAGGAATTTTCAAGGAAAACCAAACAATCAAATCTATATGCGTCTTTGCATCAATAATATATTGATTTTGATCTCAACACATTTGGCAGCATTTCTCAAGGGATTTTTTTATTTAAAATCTAATTCGATAGTCTGATCATTTACTATGAAAGTCTTCTGTGTTATAATGATTAGTCATCGAAGAATTTTGCTGCTATTTTAAGAAAGAAAAAAATCGTACTACAGGTGACTCGTCATCAACATTATTTCAAAAAAAAACTAATAGCGTCAACAGCTGTATGCATTAAGAAAGAAAGAAAAAAAAAATGTCGACGATTGTATGGCGTGAGTAGTCCAAACTTTTTATTCGATGTATGAATGACATCATAAATCATCTAGAACTTTTTTTAAAATCAACATCAAGTTTGATAATAAATGTTGAAAGAGATATTTAACTATTTGCATATTACATGTCAATGTATAAGTCAGTTTTATAAATCGAATGAACAGTGATTTGTTAGAGGTCATACGAAAAGAATAGACTATTCATTTTTGCTGCACATGATTTTTTAATATTAAATCACAGTTATGTATCTATTTTTTCTTTTACCGACTACAGAATACGTTAAATTGATAATTATTTAATGTAACATTAAATTTACTTATTGAATTATAATTCATTTATTGAATTATGTCAACATGGATTATATATTGAATTTGTTATAGCTACCAGTGTCTAAAACAAATCATTTTATTATACAAACTGTTGTCGTTTCAATAGTGAGGTAACTATCGATTCCATCTTATGTCGTGTTGACAATTGAAATGGAACAATATGTTTTTATCATTTGCGAAAATAATATCTAAAGAATCTATCTTACTTATCACTATTTGAGAAATATTAATGAATCCAATACTTCAGATTATCTATTTTGGCATTTGTTGTTGGAAAAAACGACTAAATGTATCAAGTGATTCCATATTTTAAGGAGATTTAATTAAATCGTTGTATCTCACGTGAAACGAAAACTTTATTTGGAATTGGTGTATTTCTGAGCAATTAAAATATTTATATGGAACTCTGTTAAGTACTCAAATCGAAAAGAAAATTAAATTTTTAGGGCATTTTACTTTCTGATAAAAATTTAAATTTAATAATAATTATATGTGTTAGAAACCCACACAATAGATGTCGATAGTGACGTTTATATTCTGCTCGTTTCAATTTTAATTTTTTTTTTTTGTTTTTGGATAGTTCATGTTCGAGAAACCGATTATCGACAGCAAAATGTCATTATATCCGATGATTCTTTTGCTTCATTATGATAAATACCAAATGGTTTCCATTATTTTCTTATAATTAACGATATTGAAAGATTGCTCATACATGCATGGATTTATTATGGAGGCTGCACGTTCGAAATAATCTTTATATTAGCATATTTTGAATTAAAAATTTAATAACATTTAACTATAAATCACGGTTTTAGTGAGAGAGAATAATTCATCAATGAATACTCTATATATCAAAGATTATCTGAAAAAGAAACTATTGAATAGTCAGTGAATTATGCAATTGAATTTTAATCATTGATATAATTCTACCAAAAGTCTCTTTCATTCGATTTATGCTTAAAAATAAAACATAAGAGTTGATTCTTTCAAAATTTTTTCCGTCATTGTTGCTAGACTAGCTGTCTGATGAACTTGTCGATACTCAAATCGAGTACTAATTGATGCAACTTTACAATATCCCTACAAAAAGCTGCCACCTACAGCGTCATAGTGGCAGTGCGGCAACGTCACCATGAACATCTCTGTGATAGAGTAGGCTTCTAACGTACTTTTTTCTTGAGATGCATCTGACACGTAATGTGTTTTTGTGACGCTGCATGAAACTGTTGTTCAATCAGGCACTTAGGTGTGTATGTAAGTGTGAGTCTTTTTTTTCAATACCACCAACACTCACACTTATCGGCCATTTTCAATAAATGACATAAATGATGAGTTATCAATGATTTCAGAACGACAAAAATGGCGCAATGAGTAAGTAAAGAATTTTGTTCCATATCTTTTCTGGTTTAAGAATATCAAAGTAACGATTTCCCAAAAAAAATGACAGCAAAAGTGTTTTCAGAATTAGATAATTTATTTTGTCCTAATAATTAATATTAAATATATGTTGGTGGACTCATTTCAGCTGATAAAAAACAAAGGAAGACAAATATTTGTCTATTGTATATATATATGAATCATGTCGTTTTACTGCAAAGAAGCTATCCAAAGCTGTAAAGCATAATGTTACATGTAAGAAATGCTTTTCTTGTTTTCAAAAACGAAGAAATGGAAGTACTATTTTAATCTTTGTGAATCAATAGTAATCAAAATACTTTGCATAGATGCAAAATTAAGCCAAAGATCTTCAAGCAGTTTTTCTTATTACAGTATTGTAGTCGCTAAGCATTGACTTCGACAAAAGTCATATAGTATTCTGTTTTTCCTTCTTCCATCTAGAATGGAGCACATCATGATCGTCATTACTATGTATATGAGATTTATCAGATATCAAACTTTAAACACTCAACTTCTTATGAAAGATGATAATGGTGTAGTAAATTGAACAATTTAACTATATCATACATCAAATTTTTTAGACAAAATTTTTCTTGATGTTTAACAAACTGTAGTTTAAATTTCAAATTAGTTCACTAGTGATTATTGTAAATTGTTTTGAACAAGCATTTAATAATAAACTCCACGTTCGCGTGTCATTTCTGTATGAATACCACTTTCCATTATATGTCCTCTATCAAGTACACAAATCAAATCACATGAACGAATAGTTGAAAGACGATGAGCAATAATGAGTAATGTTCGACTAAAATCTTCTGTTTGAGCTTGTTCAAGAGCTTCTTGTAGAAGCTATAATTGAAAAATAAAGATGAATCTGCTATTGACAAAAACTTACTTGTTCATTATATGAATCCATGGAACTTGTAGCTTCATTTAGGGGCAATACTTTAGGTCGATGAATACGAGCTCAAGCAATAGCAATTCGTTGCTTTTCATCGCCTGACAGAAAACTTCCTTTTAACCCTACTTTTGTTTCATAGCCCTAAAAAAATCATACAATAATACTAAATACATTATATATTTTTGTATTGTTTAACTTGAGGCAATTGGTCGATCAATTGATGAATATTAGCTGTACTTGCTGCATTGATAATATCTATCATTGAAGCATTTTCTAAGCCATAGGTTATATTTTTAGCAAGTGTTAAATCGAACAAAACTGGTTCTTGACTAACAAGAACAAATACATTACAGATTTAGCTGACGAATAACAATGCCATCAAGAACCTATACTGAGTGGACAAATTTTACATGAATACTTAAATTATACGTTGACGAAATACTAACTAGTTGACCACTTGTAACACCATAGAATCTTTCTAACAGTTGAATAATTGTTGATTTTTCACAGCTGGATGTAACTGTACAAATCATATTACATAAGTAATATTTAAAAGAAAGATTTAATTCAGACATATTAACAAAAGCCACACGCTGACCTTATCAGTGAATAAAAATTTCTAAAAAAACTATGATTAAATCGAAACTTATGTTATTTACTTGGTTTGATATTCAATTGAAATTTGTTAAGAATAATAGATGTTGGTCGAGTTGGATAGATAAATTTGACTTGATCAAATTTTTTCTCTCCATGAAAATCAACCTACAAGAAACATTATATTGATGGCATGTGGATGATTGAAAGAAAATAGCTATTTTCTATTTTCTCTTACTAATTATTGTCCTTCAGTTGATGAATTGTCAAAGGTTGATTTTCGATCAATTAAATCAAACAAATATTTCTGCAGCTGAGATTGATGCTGCAACACGCTTAGATCTAGAATGCAAACAGTAGAATTTAATATGTACTTATATAATTACATTGCAAATCAAATTACCTTTTCATTTGGATCCAGTATCAATGATCACGTTTTTTAACACATGCAGTATCAATCAAGTCGAGGAAAATACAAATTACATTTATGGAATTTTGTTGATAGTATCAATTCATTGATGTTGCTATCGATATTAATGTTGATGGAAATTTATAACTTTTACGATCTACATGTATTAAATGATGAGTTGATAAACGATTTCATATTGTAGCTGATGATAGTTTGTTTTTGAATTTATATGTACAACGATATCATGACTCTCGTAGTATTACTTGTGCTGGTTTATTGATTGAATCTTCTTGTCAATAGAAGATAGAATGTATATCTCGATACGAGGTTCTTATTTTTTGTTCAACATAAACACTAACTACCGTTGTGGACTGAATTCTTTTTCCTGTTCGATAACATAAAGCACACGTGATAGTACACTATTACACTTTGCTATTAAAGAGAATTTTGAAACATTTTAAATAAGGTAACTAAATCAATGACAAAAAATAGATATTCAAAACAAAACAGAAGAAATTCATATGAGACAAATTGTTGTCAATTTTGATACAAGCTTATCATTTGCAGAATGAAAAACGATTAGTGTGACAAAAATGAAAGAAGTTTTCAAACAAAGAATTTTTCATTCTATAAAACAAATTTATAGAAAATGACGTGTCATAAGAATTATTTTGTTCCGTCATAAATTAAATAAAGAATATTTTTATACCTAAACTACAGCATAAAAACCATTAGCTCAACATTAAATCAAGTATATAACTAAGTTATAATATGATAAAAATAACGTCATTCATCTAGAGTCTAACACATTAACAAAAGTTATAATACTTTATTGTATTTTTGTTTTGTCTAAATTGCCATATGATAGATTTGCAAGATGTCAAGGGGGTGATAACGCATGCTTTTTACAACAGACTAAAAAGTGACAAATGTATTTTAAGTTACACATGTCGGTAAATGGATTTTTTTGAGTTAATGATCAATCAAACGATTTTCAATTTTCTTTTAATTCGAACATACTATCTCTAATTTGAGGCAAGCTTTCCAGAGGTTCGTTCAAAATGATCCACTGTTTGACAGTGTAACTCTATATTTTTTCTGTGCCATTGATTTAACAGACAAACCACCCAATGCTATTTTATGTGTCATCAACCATTATTCGATTCTATTCTCCTTCGTTGCTAGGTAAAAAATCCTTCTTAATAATACGTTTCGGAAAAAATTTTCTTCCAAAACAAAAATCGTGAAGTTCTTCATTTTCTTGTTTTATTAAAGAATGAAATAGAATTTTTCCTTCCTTTTTTTTATCGAATGATTTCGTATATAGATGTAGATATTGAAAAATGCATTTGTTATTAATAGACCAAACAAAAGTACTTTTTTTCTGGGAAAGAGTATATTAGACCAAATTTAGGCTCGAAACGGACTCAATGAATTAAACATTAAATTTAGAAATGTGATTTCCGTTTGTATATGGAAACACCAATCACATTCTTTTTTTTTATTTGACAACTGGGTTAAAACCTTAAAAAAAGCCTTCAGTTATCATATTAATGTGAGAAAGAGAGACATATAGAAAAGAAAAATGCAAAGTAAATGTCGTCTGTTCTTTCACTAAGCCGTCTACTTTGTTTCTGTCTGCTCGATTTTTTTTTTGTAAATAAAAACTTCCAATGAAAAAGAGTAGCTTGTGTCATTTTTTTACAGCCCTTCTCCATTTTAGCGCCCCAATGCATCTGATAGGTCACAGAACGAGCAAGAAAAAGAGGGTGGCAGCGAGGAAGTGAATTGTAATAAGATGTTTTGGAGGGCTCAAGTATAAAAGAACCATGTTTGCTACTAACATCTCATTCTGTTGTCCTGTTCTTTTAAAGCTAGATTTCATAAATTACTTATTTTAGATTATTTAAAAAAAAAAAGAAAAAATGGCTCAATCGAGCGGTGATAAAAATCAAATTGTCATTGGCTACTGGGCAATTCGTGGCTTTGCGGAACCAATTCGTTTGGCTCTACATTATACCAAAACACCATTTACAGACAAATTATATGAACAAGGTGAAGGTCCAGAATACAGCCGAGAAGAGTGGCTTCGTGAAAAACCAAATCTTGGCCTTGGTAAATCAATATTTATATGTTTTCTTACATTTTGTTTATTGATCTTCTAGATTTTCCTAACTTACCATATTTGTTTGATGGTGATTTGAAAATTAGTCAATCAAAAGCTATTTTATATTATCTTGGACGTAAATTAAATCTTTTGGGAAAGAATCTAAATGAAGAAGCACGAGCGATGATGTTATGTGAAGAAGCTTTTGACTTTCGTATGAAATTAAACGAAGTCTTTTATGGTCCAAAAGGAGAATCCAAAGCAGAAAGAAAAAAATTTGCTGAAACAACCATAGCAGAACAATTACAAAAGTTCGATGCTTATTTAGGCAAATATAATACAAAATTTGCTGTTGGTGATGGACCAACTGTAGCTGATTTTCAATTGTATTCATACATTGATACTGCTTTATCAATGGATGAAGAACATACTTTAATTAATAAATATCCTAATGTTAAACGATTGTTGAAAACAATAAGTGAATTACCTGAAATAAAAGATTATATTGCTAAATCTCATGCTCAATTGCCTCTCAATAACAAAGGTTAATATCATATAATAGTAATAAGAATAATAATTTGTTTTCTTTTTAATTTTTAGTGGCTGCATTTGGTGGCAAAGTCATTCAACATTAAATAAACCAATAACAAATAGTTCCAAACTTTGACATTTATTTTAGTCCATTTTACCTTATTTGACATGAAAAGATATTCAAAATAAATAAAGATTACACGTAGTAATTCCCTGATTGTATCATTAACTATTGGTATTTTTTTTTGTGAGAAGAATAATGAAGATTAATTCCAATTTTGAAATGAGTTATTGTTGGTCTTTTTTATGAGGTTTTAAAAATTCCATCAAAGATTGATTTAAACTTTCGATGTGTTGAACGATAGCTATTGTCAATTAAATATTCAACATAATATAATTGCACATTATCTGCTCAAGAGAAACAAAGTGTTTGCTAGTTTCTTTGTCTTGATAATGAAAGGTATTGTGTAGAATGAAAAGAGCAATCAAATCAAATAAGTCTTTTTGCTTTTTTTTTCACATTCAAAGCAAAAAGTAAGATTTCGATTATGAAGGATACAGTTAAGATTATGTAAATAGGTTGGAAACAACAATAGTTAATTTGTTGACATAGTTATTAAAGACCAAAACCTTAAAATATACGACCAAAGACGTTTCTCACGATCGAGAAATTACTATAATTCTAGACACTTTATGCTACGAAAAGATTCAGTTTCATACTTTTCTTGTTCAACGATAGTTTACGTTGTATGAACAGTATTGATGCTCAAGTTGTATAAAAATACAAAAAATAAAATACATAGAAAACATTATTTTTCTAAATTAATAGATAGTTTTTCTCTGTTGTATCCTATTTGGTATTGGTCGGTACTAGAAAATTTGTAAAATAATATGAAGCTGTTCTTTAAAGATTCAGCGATTTTCCATATTAGCCATATTTCAAATAGATGAAAATATTATTCATTGAACTTTTATGAAGTAGGAAGAATACCTCTTGTCTTTGACCTACCTTGCAATATAAGGCACTGTCTAATGATAGATTCAATAGTCCGATATCTTCTCTACAACAATGACTAGCTGTATCTCTGAACAGAAAGTCGGATTAATGTAAAGTTCTTGCGCTCGATTGCTTGAGATCGTCAAACACAGTAACTTACTATAAGAACAAGTGTATATCACAACGTAGTCAGCATGCTAGAGTGGACAGACAATCCGAAATAACTAGTCGTTAAACATTTGTTCGGGATCATTCCATGCCTAGGGGTACTGAAGTTTACACACAGCACCTTGTGGATACATATCAATTGAACAACGCAGCCATTCAGTTACGGTGGTCCAGCTTTTATGAGATCATTATTTCATGGAATGATCAAT